TGACAACCAGCTAAGAGAACCTTATACAAGTGCTTTTCATGTATGAGATACTGTAGAATAAAATTTTATTATCCATGTTTTTAACTGGCATTAAAACAGACCCACACAGATTATAATGACAAGACTAGGGAATGAATTATAAAGTATAAAACAATACCAAAAATGGTTAGACTTAATATACACATTAAATATTATAATGAATATCTTAACAAAACTAGAGCCTGAGTATTTCTTATTCAGCTACATTGAACATTTTAAGGTCGAAATTTTATGGTTTACTGACAGTGATGAATGTAAGTACTTTTCCTTAAGGTTCTTGTGAAATTATGTTTCAGTGTTAAAATAAATTTAAGTAACACTCCTCCTCATTTTAAAATGTAAAAATGCCCTGAAACACTCAACCAATTATACAGCTTAGGTCGGGGTACTTTTCCTCAAGGTGTAAAGTATCGCAACAAAGCGGATACTGCCTCACAAATAGAATGGTTTTCAGTTTCGCCTCACAAAAACATCATTCATTTTTCTTCTTACTACTGAAACAGGCTATCCCTTGAGCCTGGAAGATTGTTTTATATTGAGATTTCTGTTGAAATAAGTCAATGTAACAGCATTTTAAGACTACTTATCAGGAGTACGCTAAGAAAACTTATAGTTGTTTCTTTAGGAAACAGCTGCTTATAGCAAAGAAGCCTGGGTTTCCTCAGTCTACAACTACAGCCATTTCTAAAAAGCATATAGTTCTTAGGATTCAGGAAGCTGTAACTTTGCTTGTTTCAGTGATACTTTTTCTGAGAAACTACTCATCCTATACAAGCTGCAATACATTAAGATCAAACAGTAATAAACATGTGGTCGATCCACTTCTAGCAAAAGCACTGATTACTGGCTAGATATTCTCTTATTTGGAGACTGACCCTTTAAATTTTCTATCCAGAAAGAACCTGAAACCTGGCACACCATTAGGATATTCTTGATTTTAATTTATAGCCTATTTAAATACTAGTTTATAAACTAAGTAGGCTTTAAGAGGTAGGTTTAATATGGTGTTTTGAGTTGGGTGAACCAAACACGCTTAAAATTGTATAATACATTTAAAAATGGTAACCATCAACCCCCTTGAACATCTACTTCCACAAGTTGATGTTTTTTTCATACATTCAAAATTGTGGCATATCCCTAGAACATAAGCTTCAATTAAGAGTCATCATATAACCCTTTCCCCCAAATATAATTAAAACATATGCCATGTTTTGTGGGGAGATTATTCCTGGGGCATAGTGGCCTAGGTGTGTTTTTCAATCCCAGTTGCTTCAGGACTCCTTTATAGTCCACCCACCTTCTCAGTGGGCTGCCCCAGTCTGCCGAGTCCCGGGATGGGATCAGCGCATCGGGAACAGGCTCTGAGTGGGGGGTGGGGCCGGGAGGGATTCGGGGAAGCCCAGCCAAGAATGAAGTGCTTACCCCCCTAAGGCTGTTTATGTGAGGCAATGGGGCCTGGTCTGGGATGCACAAACTTGGCTATTTGCTTGATTTAAGAGCATCTTGTACAAGATACAACTTTTGCAGAGGGCCTAAACTGATCTGGAAGACCAATGCTGGAGCAAATGCTATGATCCTAAATATTCTATTTTCATCAAGGGAGTGATTCAGATGCTAAGTTCATGATCTTCACTTAATGCTTAAATGTTTTCTAACTGAATATATGAGTTTTGAGACTAATATCTGGATGTATCACTGAACCACTTAAACTACTAGGAATCACGGACTTGTTGTAAAATCTACAGGTGCTAGATCTGAAGCTTTGGTCTCATGACCTGGATTGAGATCCTCTGCATAAGTAGCAGTGTTATACAAGCACCCTGGATACCTGGCCACCCTGTTTGGAAAACAAATTTAATTTTTATCTCCAAGTAGGAAATTACAATTTTAATGCAGTTTAGGAGAATTATGGGCTTCCCTGAAAAGCTCAGTTGGTAAAGAATGCACCTGCAATGCAGGAGACACTGGTTTTATTCCTGGGTTGGGAAGATTTGCTGGAGAACGGATAGGCTACCCACTTCAGTATTCTTGGGGTTTCCCCGTGGCTCAGCTGGTGAATCCACCTGCAATGCGGGAGACCTGGGTTTGATCCCTGGGTTGGGGAGATCCTCTGGAGAAGGGAAAGACTACCCACTCTGGCATTCTGGCCTGGAGAATTCTAGGGTTGCAAAGAGTTGGACATGACTAAGCAACTTTCACTTTTCTTTAGAAGAACTGTAAAAGTATTTCTAAATGTTTCTTCTTTTAAACTCTGATTTTGCCTCATGCAATGGAACTGGAATAAAGGCACTCGAATATATTTATAATAGAAGACCATGTCTTAGAACAGTAGTACCTCAAGTAATATATATTTATCTCAGATAACACATAAAGTCCTAAAATTAGTTAATATTTTACATTTAAAGACAAATAGCCCAGTGGCACAAGATTAAATCCTAGACTCCTGATAAAGAATTTTAGCGTGTTCCCCCATTATCTGTCTGCAGTTGCGAAATACCGGCTGCTATACAGTAATTATGTGTATTACTTATGAGAGAAAGAAAACAAGCGATCAAAGTGGCCATCTTTACCTTCTCTGACATATCTGATCCTCTATGAATCCTGAACAAATGGAGGTAGGAAGTGCCCCGCTATTTAAAGTGGGTAAGTACCTAAATAAATATACTATCTTTAAAGGAAATGATCACAGATGGGCAATACATTTGCTTTATTTAACAATCTTACCCTAAGTATCCTCTCTTAAAAGGCCCAAGAAACAATTCTATAGCAGAAGTGAATCCTAGAACAGATGAACCCAGAATACAATTTTCCAGGGTATCAGCACAATTGTTAATCAATTTCTACTCACAGAACCCAGTTTCACTGAAGCCTATAATCGTTTCTTTTCCTAATTCTATTATCTCCTTTTCCTCTAAATATAATCTTAGTTTAGCACGTATCTGTCAAAGACTCTGGTCTTCCACAAAGACAAGCGTGGTGATCGGGGAGGGCAGTATGGAGCCCAGTCACCGCCCGGCTACAAAGTCCGTTGTGTGGCCTTGTTTGGGCATGTCACTGAAGCTCTCTTCATCTCACTTACCTGATCTGCAGTGGTATTGCCCTTATAAAGCTCTTGTGATGAGTGAGTAATGTAAAACTTCACAGAGCATTGCCAAGCACATAGTAAATAACCATAAAGTTTAAACTATTATCATTCCAGTTTTTCAATCAAACCAAACAGTATCCTCATAAGCAGTCTAGCAATTACAATGGACAACCAAATCAGAGTAAATCGAAGGATTAAGCATGTTCAGAAACACGGCCTTATTAACTTTTTACTAAAATATGATTAAATGGAGACACTATAATCAATTCGTAGTATCCACAATAACTACATACATGTGTACATAAACCAAAACATTTATTTAGAAAATACAAAAAATTAGTTTGTCTTGCTCTTTCTTCAGACTATCCTGTCAATTTTCAGTAGTGCCACATAATTTTATAACTAAATTTTATTACATCTGAACACTTCAAAGAGCTGTAGTTTTGAAATAAATTTTGCTATGATTAAATAGAGAAAATCTATTCAGAAAGTACAGAATGCACGAATTTATGATACTTATCCAATTACCACCAGTATATAAATTATTTTGTAAGGTTATTTCTTACACACAGGATGTAAAATGCAAAAAAAAAAAAAAATGGAATTTGTATTCAAAACAAACAGAAGAAACACTGGCTCCTATAAGCTAAAAATATAAGACAGATTTTTTTTCTTAAGCATTCTAGATACAAATATTAACTATATGGGCTGAGAACTTTAAATTTCAATATAATTCAACAAGGTACACAGTAAAGCTCTATAAATATATCCCCTATAATAACCATATGCAAAACCATTTTATCACAAATACTACCAAACCCTCTGAAAAACGTAAACTACAAACACATTTTTAAAGAAATTCTGTTTTAACAACTACAAAAGAATATCAATAAAGCTATTTGGCTTTAAAAAATGAAGGGCAGTGTAATGTAAATCCCAGTACTGCGAAGCTGTTTTCTGAGAATGCAGTCTTGAGTTTAATACAAGGTACTAAACATTTTCAAAAATAAACAAAACTTATTCTATACCATTTAAAGTCTTGAACAAAAGTTCTAAAAAGAAACCACTAAGTAACAGATGAAAAGCAGGTATGTAGAATTAACGGTATAAAATGTGATTTTATACAAAATGTACCATCTTCATATGTATAAGGCTTGATGAGTATTTTTGGACTATGAGTGTTGCACATTTTTATAGCAGTCTCAAACCGTTCGAAATGCAGTATTTTTAAAACGTTTTGATATTTCTGACAGGAATAAACATGATACAGGATACAACTTAGTATCAATTTATCTATACTGTTCCACTCAGGAACCTTTTTTGAGCTTAGGAAAGAATTTCTTTTGAATGCTTGATCTCTACATAAACTCTACTTTTAGAAATGTCAGTATTTTATGATATAGAACTAATACCATCAGGAATTGGCCCAAGTTTAAAGAGAAAACACAAAGGAGACATACAGTGTCAAACAGTTCTAAGTTTGCCTTATGCAATTATAGTCATCATTACTTTTACATGAAAGTAAAGTGCTTTATAAAGTAAAAAATATTTTTTTACTGTTCATACTTAATATCCAAATCAGATTTTCTAATTTAGTTCTACTTTATACATTTCCTCTAAAAAGTACTCTTCTGCCACGATGTAAGCAAAAAAGGGGTCCATAAAATGGGACACCACTCACATCATATTTGTGGTGTGGGCCCTTACACTGAGACCAAATCTTCATTAACCCAAGTGAGAGAGCCTTTATTTCTTATACATGCCCAAAGTAACTAATATCAACTCACATTTTCTGTAAACCTTCAAGAATTTTTATTCAACATAATGAGAAGTTTAATACCGATATTAAAACTATGGAGCACTCTTCTGTTGCTGTTCACCAGCTGTTTTTATGACGATAACTCCGCGACCTGGAATGTGATCGAAAGTGAGAGTGTTTTGCTGTTTGTGCTTTTGTTTCAGAATTGGTATACGCTTTGGGAGATTTACATGGGGATCTCGCTATGGAGTCAGAATGTCTTCCATGTGATCTTGATTTTGTTCCTGAGCTAGTCTGCTTCTGAGGTGAGCTTGACTGTGATTTTCCTACTGACTTGGACCTTTTCTGCAAGGACTTGGACCTGGACCGTTCTCTAGAACCAGAATTCCTTCTTGGAGTTCTTGACTGCCGTGCTGAGGTAGACCGCCTGGGTAGTGATTTGGAGCGAGATTTAGACTGGCTGTAAGAAAATCGCCTGTGTCGAGACCTGCAAACATCCATAACGTCAGAGTATATATTTCATACAGAAATAGTTAATAGGTTAGGAAACAACACTTTCAGAAACTTATATACTTTACATAACATTGGTTGCACTTTTGTTGGAGAAAAAATTCTAATTTTATTATGCGTGCTTTTGGTTCAAAAATATGTACAAGTTTTTAATATTTGACCAAAAGATTTTGACTTTCCTGGGTATCTTTTATGAGTCAGTTCTGAAAAATATATTTTGCATATTTAGTCTGGGTTACATAATTCCTAAGAGGTAAGAAAATCTGAAAGGGAAAAAAAGATAAAAAGAAAATATTTAAAGAATATTAAATAATGTTAATAAAAACAAAAACCTAGATGGAGGACTTCTGAACCTTGCCATGACAGAGCAGCTTGTTCTAGACCAATCTTCCCATTAAAAAAAAGCTATATTAAAAGGTTAGACAAGAGTTACAAAACGACTGTTAAAAGGCATTGGAGAATAACCATCAAAAGCAGAATCTGAAGGGTTACAAGCCATGAGGTTACAAAGGTAAGGGCTACCAAGGGTTACAAACGGTCTCTTTTCCTGAGACCGTTTTCCAAAAGCCAGAATGGGAGAATTAAGCCCAACTAGAAAACAGCTACTGGACTAAGCTGAAGAGACAGAGATTAGAATTCAGAGCCATCAAAATGGCTAAGACTTAACAGACAAAAATCCCAGAGATGAGGAAAATGCAGACAAACCACCCCACCCCAACCTAAACTCTGCCTATAAATTTTCCTCAAGTCACTGGCCACCATCTACGTTGCACATGTAAGACTCCAAGAGGTTAGCAAAAAACAGCAGCTGAAAGACTGAACATCTGAGTGAGTAATGCAAAGAAACAGAGGAAAACAACAAAATGGGAAAGACTAGAGATCTCTTCAAGAAAATTAGAGATACCAAGGGAACATTTCATGCAAAGATGGGCACAATAAAGGACAGAAATGGTATGGACCTAACAGAGGTAGAAGATATTAAGAGGTAGCAAGAATACATAGAACTACACAAAAAAGATCCTAATGACCCGGATAAACACTATGGTGTGATCACTCACCTAAAGCCAGACATCATGGAGTGTGAAGTCAAGTGGCCTGAGGAAGCATCACTATGAATAAAGCTAGTGGAGGTGATGGAGTTCCAGCTGAGCTGTTTCAAATCCTAAAAGATGATGCTGTTAAAGTGCTGCAGTCAATAGGCCAGCAAATTTGGAAAACTCAGCAGTGGACACAGGAAAAGGTCAGTTTTCATTCCAATTCCAAAGAAGTGCAATACCAAACAATGTTCAAACTACCAAACAATTGAGCTCACTGCACATGCTAGCAAGGTAATGCTCAAAATCCTTTAAGCCAGGGTCAAGAGTGCAACTTCCAGATGTACAGACTGAATTTAGAAAAGGCAGAGGAACCAGAGATCAAATTGCCAACATCCACTGGATCATAGGAAAAGCAAGGGAACTTTGAAAAACATCTACTTCTGCTTCATTGACTACGCTAAAGCCTTTGACTGTGTAGATCACAATAAACTGTGGAAAATTCTTCGAGAGATAGGAATACCGGATCACTTTACCTGCCTCCTGAGAAAACCATATGCAGGTCAAGAAGCAACAGTTAGAACAAGACATGGAACAATGGACTGGTCCAAAACTGGGAAAAGAGTAATCAAGGCTGTATATTGTCACTCTACTTACTTAATTCATATGCAGAGCACATCATGTGAAACGCCGGGCTGGATGAAGCACAAGCTGCAATCAAGGCTGCCAGGAGAAATATCAATAACCTCAGATATGCAGATGATACCACCGTGATGGCAAAAAGTGAACAGGAAGAAGCCTCTTGATGAAGATGAAAGAGGAGAGTAAAAAAGCTGGCTTAAAACTCAACAGTCAAAAAAGGAAGATCATGGCATCCGGTCCCATCACTTCATGGCAAATAGTAGTGAAACAATGGAAACAGTGACAGACTTTATCTTCCCGGGCTCCAAAATCACCGCAGATGGTGACCAGTCATGGAAATTAAAAGATACTTGCTCCTTGGAAGAAAAGCTATGACAAACCTAGACAGCATATTAAAAAGCAGAGACATCATTTTGGTAACAAAGGTCTGTATAGTCAAGGCTACATGGCTTTCCAGTAGTCATGTACAGATGTGAGAACTGGACCATAAAGAAGACTGAGCGCCGAAGAACTGATGCTTTCCAGTTGTAGTACTGGGAAAGACTCCAGAAAGTCCCTTCGACAGCAAGGAGATCCAACCAGTCCATCGTAAAGGAAATCATTCCTGAATATTCACTGGAAGGACTGATGCTGAAGCTCTGATACTCTGGCCACCTGATGCAAAGAGCTGACTCACTGGAAAAGACCCTGACGCTGGGAAGGAGTGAGGGCAGGAGAAGGGGCTGACAGGATGAAATGGTTGGATGGCATCAGCTCAATGGACATGAGTTTGAGCAAACTCCAGGAGACAGTGAAGGACAGGGAACCCTGGCGTGCTGCAGTCCGTGGGGTCTTGAAGAGTCTGACAGGACTGAGTGGCTGAACAACAAACAACTGTAACTACGAACAAAAACCACTGAGGTCAGAGAGGTTAAGCAATAGTCTTAACCTTTAGAACAATGCAGAACTATAACTAGAACAAAGCAGAACTGTACTGTCTTACAAGAAAATGTGGTTCTTTCTATTCCTGATACTCCACAATGATTGGAAACTGACAGTCTTTTTTTGTTTATTTTTCTCCAGACAAGTAGTATACTTTCCTGCCACTAGAAGGCAGAATATGCTGTGAATGTTCACTTCTCCAGATCAATCAGGAGAGAAGGTGGCTGATTAAAGCTCTAACACATTTGGGGAGAGCTTATATTTTTACTCAATCACATGGGGCAATTTTCTCCTTTTCTTTTACTCTTTTTCACCAAGACCGCTGGTTACCATTTAGTAAGTTAGAACAGTACTGCTTTAGGTACAATATTATATCTAGTTTGATTTTCTGTATATAAACCATTAACTTATATTAATGTGAAGTGTTGAATATCACTCATAAGACTCATGTCCTTTGTGAAGTCAGAAGCAATACCAGTGGTACTGGTGTGCCTCTGCTACACATGACATATAAAATTTCTTAATTTGTTCTCACCACATTTTAGGTTCTATAAATGTAACTTGTATTTGAGTATATTGGTGTCAAAATCTCAGATAATCAATCAGTAGTAAGATGGCTTTCCTTTAGCCATGTAACAAAATGGATTATTCTCCACGGATTCACAGGAGGTTTATATTCTTACACTATCAGACCAAGTATGATAAAAAGAATCAAATTCCAGACCAAAACATAACTGTTCCTAGATATTTCTTCACCCACCTTGGTGATGGCTCAATCCTGACCTGGGTTCTCCTGGCTTATAAAAGGAGCTCAAGGCTTCCTCTTACTTACATGCCTCCCTAAGAATATGCCAAAATCAAAACATTTGTTTCAAACCCAAGGTGAAGGACTGATCTGACATGTTAAGATTCTAGGGCTCTGAATAGGCCACATTTTCTAGTAATCAGGATTCTCAGATATTTCTCTCTTCCTGTCTTTTCTTTCCACTTGGCTGGAGGGACTGGAGCCAGGCCACTTTACAGTCTTGTTTTTAGAACTAGGTACTTGGGGTAAAGACTGTCTAGCTCGGGTACACACACTCCATGTTGGGCTCTTCCTTGTATAGGCTCCTGGGAGTTGAGGAACAGAGGGAGTGGAGTGAAAGTGAGCAGCTCTGCAGATCAGCTCTGATTTGAGGTTATGTTGTCACTGGACAGCTTAGATATACTATATATGGCTCAGGAGAGCCAACTCTTTCTTATCATGAAATGCGCCATGTGGCATCTGGGATCTTCGTTCCCCAACCAGGGATCAAACCTAAGATAAGTCCCCTGCAGTGGAAGCCTGAAGACTTAACCACTGGATTGTTAGGGAAGCCCCAGGAGAGTCAACTCTTTATTACTCATAGAAAGAGGATACTAGCATAAATGCTGATCAATCTTTAAGGCCAGAATTCACCTTAAAATTCTATATGCCTATAAAAAAAAATTACACCATTAAAACTCAAGAGAAAAACAGTTAAGTGGTAGAATTTAGGCATGCTAATACAATTTCAGTTATGATTAAAACATCACCAAGTAATTTCCACTGCAATTTCCTATTATTCTAACAGAAACTAACCTCTAGCAGGAAAAACAGACAACTTGTAAATATCTTCTTCTGAAAAATCTACTACTTTTATATTTTCTTCCTACAATGCTACCATACTTGGAATTTATTCTTGAAATAATTTGCTTTCTACAAATACACTGATTCACATTTTGATCAACTTCCTTTCACAAATGATTACATTTTATTTCATATGAGTTTTTAATTATCAGGCCTCAGATTCTTAATTTGGGGGTTCATTTAAAAAATTTTATTTAAAATCCTCATTTTATTGTCAAGTATACATCTTTAAATTTTTGCTTTTTTCCTCAGTATATATTATCTACTAAAAAGGTTAAACTTAAGTCAGGCATAAAATGAACACACTGGAAGGTATCTAACAAACCCAAGTTAAAATAACAATACATTATAAATTGAGAGGAGCATATCCTTCTAAAAAAGTTGATTCTTTATGTATATTAAGTAAAATGATTCTAGTGTCCTATTTTTGAAAATTCTTTAAAATGTTTTCTGGAAACAGCAGAAAATTAAGTTTTCAATCCCCTTTTATTTTGTACTCACTCTTTAAGGCTATCCGACCGCCGCCTATTTCTTCCCCATGAGGAACTTCTACTTCGGGTTCTTCTTTGGCTAGGGCTTCTTGATCTCCTATGATCACTTGGAGAACAAAGGTGACGTTCTTTTGATTTCATCTGCCCTGGTGCTAGAATATGAAGTTCAAGATTTATAATTCATTACCTGAAAACCTCAATAAACAATCATTCAATAAATAAGCCACTCAAATAGCATTATATTCTGAAATAATTTTAAATTAAAAAAATCTGTCATTGCTGAAACTCATCCTGCTAAAAAAGCAAGATCTGCTATTAAGTCACACTTACTTTTGCGATCACCTTGTGCAAACTGTATTTCAATCTGACGGCCACATACCCACTTTCTATTGAGGTTATAAAGGGCGTCTTCAGCATCACGAACATCTTCAAATATGACTAGCTGTTAAGGACACTTTGAACATCAGATATCAAAAATATTATTTTTTAAAAATAATTTACAGGTGGCATGAAATAATTAGGAAAAACAAGCTCAAGTTTTTAAGGTCATATCTCTAACATAATTAAAGAATCAGAAAAAATATCGCTATCAAATGCCCCATTATGATTCTTAAGAGTCTGAAAATGAACAGAAACAAATCTCTAACTGTATTTTTAATGTATACATTAAAAGCTGTAGAATGCGTGTAATTTGAAACATGAGGATAAGTTCAATACCGGCTAGTATTATCAAATAAAACATTTAGGCAGGACCCACTCCCTTCTCCTAGATAAAAGATTTACCAGGTTTTTCAGTATTTCAGATAAAAATCAGTACACAGAAGCCTTCATTCTCAAATTAGAATTACTCTTTCATTAAAAGGCTTTTTAAATTAATTTAGGAGAAATTACTTATAAACAAAAGTGCACACATATAAGTGAGCTAAAACATATATTCAAAACTGATTTTGTCCTTTCAAAGTGATATTTGACTTTGAACCTACTGCTGTAAAATACCTTTATGTTTTTATTGCTTCGGATATAATTATAAAAGAAAGAAACAATGTTAACATCTGGAATTATATATCCCACTGAATTCCTTTATCTATGTAAATTATATAATAAACCTAACTAAAATGGAAACAAACTATATAAACCAACTAGCTGTATTTCAGGAGGTTGTCACTGGTTTAACTTTTTAAAAACAGAAAACAGAAAAAGCTTAAGTAATGCAATACAAATGAAACTTAGGCAATTACCTCAGGGTCACTTGATCTTGAACCTTGACCTTTATTCTTTAGGGCTTTCAAGATGGACTTTATAAGAGACGCAGAACCAACAGAATCAGACTTGGCTTTGACCCTGGAACTCTGAGTAAACAGGAAAGCCGAAGTCTCAGCCTGCTGTTGGCTCCGTCCTCTGCCTGGTAAAGACGTCCCCTCTTCCAAGTCTTTACATCTGTGTCCACCCTCCCTCTTTACTCCTTGGCGCTTGAGCTTTAGGTGCCTTTTGTCTTGCCTGCTCGGTTTATGCTTGGATTCTAGCTAACGGGCTGGTTCAAACTGAGGGGCGCTTGCCAGCTACTGTGGACTGCTTTAGATTTTCTGAGATAAAGAAATAAACACATTCAATTAGGCCATATTATTTCATAAAATATGCTCCTGAGTGCGTGTGTGTGTACATACATGTATATGCACATGTGTGTAGCCTATGCACATGCACACAGTAAAATAAAGGATATTGAACATACGCAAATCCTCTCGGGCGGCGGGTGTAGAAGTCAAGTGGAATGTAAACGTCTACTATAGGGCCATATCGACCAAACTCACGGCGCAAGTCCTCAGGCCTGAAGTATTTTAGAAACAAGGTAAAGAAATACCAATAGCTGGATTTAAATATTTTGCCTACAGAAATTCAGTTGAAAACTTCAGCAGAAAGTATATTTTCCAGACTAGAACTATCTAAAAAATTGTCTCTCATAGGAATCACCCAGGGTTTAGAAAAGAAAGGAAAAGTAGAACAACAAATTCTCAGTTCTAAGTTCTGGAGATTCTGATTTAAGAGGTCTGGAAGTCTGTATTTTTATAAGAACTCTAAGTGGCTTTTATGTTTAGTCAGGTTTGGGATACTGATCCAGCACATTCACTTAATTTTTTTGCTTTTTTAAAACTGAAGTATAGTTGATTTACAATATTGTGTTAGTTTCAAGTGTACAGCATAGTGATTTCGTTTTTATATATTTTCTACATATTCCTTTTCAAATTCTTTTCCCTTATAGGTTATTATAAAACATTGAGTACAGTTCCCTGTGCTATATATAGTAGGTCCTTGTTGGTTATTTATTTTCTATAGAGCATATGCACTTTTGAAAGTTACTCCTATTACAAGACTTTTCAACTGTCAAAATACAGAGTACTATTAACTATTCATTAAGAACACATTCATTTGTCTCACTATAATTTCATATTTATGTTAAATGTTTTCAGATAGAAATAAGATTCTGAAGAAGTCCTAAAGTTACTTCTCAGGCTTTAAAAGAAAAATCTATGCTTTATTAGTAAACATAAAGCAAAAATAACTACCAGACCTCAAATCTGGCAAGTATTTTTGAGTCACTTACATGCTTTCTGCTGTCATAGGTACTAAAGAGGGGACACCAAGGAAACACATAGCATAATACTTCTCTTCAGGAGTTACAATTTAACTGGAGAGACAGAACACGGAGCATTAAAAACTGACAGTTATAATGCACTTATATACCAGCCACTGTTCACCTTAAGACCACTTAATTCCCATAACAGATCTTTACAAATGTTGCTTACAGATGATGGTACAGACAGATGAAGTCACCTAACGTCACCGAGTCAGAAAGAGACAGAGCTGGAAGCAAACTCCCACAGTCTGACACTAGTCTGGCTTCCTAATGACTATATCCTACTGCCTCTTGGAGCTCATAGAGATTCAAAACCAGCTATGAGCACAAAACACGGCTTAGAGGAATTAAAGAGCATTTCAAAACATACTCCGTAGAAAAAATGGCCCAAAGATGAGCACAAAGCTTCTAACTTGGGTAAATGGAAGAAAGATGGTGTCCAAGATAAAAATTAGATAACTGGAAAAGACAGATTGAAGATTGAGGAGAGGCAAAAGAAGAAACTTTCACGTTTAGAAATGCCAAATTTGAGGTGATGGTGAAACAGCCGTAAGAGTTCTATTCTATGAGCAACTGAAAACTGTGGTTATACAAATTCAATTTTATTTTTTCTCAAGACTGTAAGTCAGTGATTAAAGCTAGAGATATGAATTTAAGAATTACATAAAGATTCAAATAACACTAACCAAGTAGCCAATATTACGTTGATATCACGACAATTTCATTTCATTTTCATCATTTTATTTTTAACCTTCACTATACCACGCTTGGCTGCCTGCCTTCCCTGAGCGACTGTCGGCTTTAGATTCAGAGGACAAATGACAATGCCTTTTTCTTTCATTTATTCATTCAACAAACACTTACTGAGTATGTACTATGGACCAGGCTCTAGGAATATGATGGAGAACACGAAAGACACAATTCCTGCTCCCATAAAACACAGACTACAGAGCAAAAATTCTCAACCATTCCTGGATATTGGAATCATCTGTAAAGGAGATGTCATGGAAGCAGGCATTCCAGCCTGATCCTTTAATCCCTGACCTAATTTGTGCTTCCCATGGTGAGCCCCAGTTATGTTTAATTTTTTAAGGGTTTCATAAGCAATTCTGAGGTTCAGGGTTGAGAATCACTTCTAAAGCAGATGTCTTCACTAGTATATCTCAGTACCTAACATAGTTGCTTGGCATGTAGGAGGCCTCAGAATATACCTGCTGTATTGATGAGTGAAGGACACATTACTGTTACTATTTACCAGTCAAGGAGACTGAGAGTGAGTTACCTTGCCCAAAGATACACACAGCCAGTAGCAAAGCTAGAATTCAAATGAGTACCTTCAGAGGCAACCAATTCCATCAACCAAATGTGAGTGGCTGACAGAAAAGGATACTAGATATATAAAGGAGGCTAGAGCAATGTGTCATAGAGACTTAGAACCCCAGAAGTCTGAGGGAATGAACCTTCTCAAAAGAACTTGCTCTTATTCAGTCTCCTCTTCATCTTAGCTGTTAGCTGTTTTTTTCCATTTATTTTCGTATTTCTGGTGTAATCTATTTTGATATTAAACACACATGTATCCATCAACAAGATTTATTATGCCTTAATATTTACTATACTTGTAATTTTTAGTATTTTTTAAGAAGATACTGTATTCTTCTCTCTCAGAAATAATCACTGGTGTGCATCATTCCTCTACATAACTTTGTATTTCTACTGCAAATCTATATAAATGGTATCGGATCACCTATAAATGGTATCAGATTACCTGTAAAATTTTGCACCTTGCCTTTTCCACCCTTGAGATTTCTCCATGGTGCTCTAGTTCACTCATTTTAACTCTGTATTGGTATTGTTATGGATAAACCACAATTTTGCACATACTTCTATGGGTGAGCATTTAATATGCTTCTTTTTTTAACTGCAAATTGTGCTGTAGCATAGTTTTCTGGGATGTATCACTAGCCATGCAATTGATGGGCTGGAGAGTATACATATCTTCAGCTTTCCTACATGTTCTCCAAAATGGCCAAATCAACTTATACTCCTCAAGACATGCATCAGAATGCCTAAGAATCCAACTCCTCACTCCCTGCCATTCTGAAGGATATAAAGTGAATGGGTATCTCATTATTTGAATTTTAATTTCTGTAAACACCAGTTAGGTTCAACATCTTTACATGCTTATCAGTCATTTATTCTAGGGTCAGAATTTCTGGGCTAAAGAGGATATATACATTTAATTTCTATGAAACGGCCAAACAGTTCTGCAAAATGGTTGTTAACATTTTATACTCCCACCAACAACATGTACGTTTCAGTTCTGCCCATCTCTGTCAGCACTTCGTACTGTCAGTCTTTTCAATTTTAGCCATTCAAGAGGGTATTAAGTGGAATCTTGCTGTGGTTTCAATTTGTACTGCAATTTTTGCATTTCAATTTGTACATTTGCATTGTACAAATGATGCTGAGCACTTTTTCACAAGCTAATTGGACACTCATATGTATTTCTCTTGAACATGTAGGAATTTTTTGTCCATTTTTTAATAATAACATGTCTTTTCATTGTTGACTTATAAAAGTTCATTACTATTCTTAGAAAAGTCCTTTGTGAGATATATGCTTTCTGAATACTTTATCCCAGTCCCTGGCTCACCTATTTACTTTCGTAATGAACAGAAATTTTAATTTTGGAGAAACCTGACTTTTCAATATTCCCTTTTAAGGTAATGACTTTGTCTTATAAAAAATCTGCCTATCCCTAAGTCATACAGATATCTTCCTTTGCTTTCTTCTAAAAGCTTTACAATTTTATCTTTTACATATCAATTAATGATCCAGTTCAAATTATGTGGGACAGAGGCTGAAGTACATTTTTTCCCTATATATATCCAGTTGTTACAGCATCATTTGGTGGAAAGTTTTTTTTTTCTAAAGGCTTTAGTGCCTTTGTCAAAAATCAATTGACTCTATATGTGTGGATTATTTACGGACCCTCTTTCCGTTCTACTGATCTATTTGCCTATCCTTAGGCCAATAACAAAGTTTTGATTATTGTAACTTTTTAATAAATCTTTAAGCCAGGGAACATAAGCTTTCCAGCTTCAGTGACCTTTTAAAAAATTATTTTGGCTATTCAGATCCTTTGCATATTAATATATTTTAGAATTAATTTGTTCCTATTTTTTAAAAGCATTTGATCAGGAATGCCTTGAATCTATAATATAATCAACTGGGATGGAACTGATAACCTAACAGTTCACCTTCCAATCTAAGAACACACACTATATTTATTAATTTATATTGGTCTTTGATTGCTCTTGGCCATGTGTTGTTATCTTCAATGCAAACGTTTTTATGTGGTTTTGCAAAACTTATTCCTAAGTATGTTTTTGGATACTAAGATAAAAGGAATTTTAAAAGTTTTTGTTGTTTGCTGTTAGTATATACAAATAGAATTTTCACTAAATTTACTTCATATTCTGGTGACTTAAGGAAACTATTCATGACTGTAGCTTTATGTAAACAAACATGTCACCTAAGAATAGGGACAGGTTTTACTTTTACCTTTATAATTTTTATGTCTTTATTTTTCTTGCCTTGTTACATTGGTTAGGACCTGCAATAAAATGTTGAATAGTGGTTGTAAGAGTTGACATCCTTGTCTTGTTCTGATCTTAGGGAGAAAGCATTCAGTTTCATTATTAAGTATGTTGTTAGCTAAAGGTTTTGCATAGATGCCCAAAAGCTGAGGAAGTTCCCTTCTATGTCTGTGTGTGTGTTATCTGGCCTGCACAATGTTTATAAACATTTAACAAAAAGTGCTGAAACATGGAAATGCCAATATCTTATAGCTTTTAAAACTACAAAAATGGCAATTTTGTATGATTCAACTTAGAAACTGCCAACAGTTTGAAACTGACAGTTTACACACACAAAATACAGTTTTGACTTCTTTTGAAAATTAAAACGATGTGGCCACAAGTCCAAATGTCTATACAGCAGTTACAGCTAAAGCCTGGTAGCAGCCACTGTCCTCTTAAGATGGCACATTTCTTTTCCATTTGCGACAGTCCACACCATTCTATTGGGCTTTAACCTGACACCTTCACTCATTCATTCATATTACCATGGTTGGCCTCTGTGGCCATTAGAACTGGAAACCTTACATTTTTTTTGTTGGCACACTGCAATCTTATTCAGTATACAAGTGGTCTGTTTAACCACAGCAATTTTTCTAACCTTACCCAAATTATAAATTTTGCTTGCTTTCTATTCAATATGCTTGATAAACAAGTTGAGCGAAGACATGTAAACACAAGCATACTTAGGATGTTAAAGTATGTTAACTCACAGTCTATAGTTGTGACATGCATATATATATTATTAGCAGAAACTGAGTTTCTAAGAAAGACTTAAAATTTACTTCTCAAAAGTAAATTATGATAATTACTCTTGATGGCTCTGGAGTCAAAGGCTCCAATATATTTCCAGCCATGAAGCCCCAGGTAAGCCACTGAAACTCTGAATTTCAGCTTTCCCTTAGGTACCACAAGATAATCTTGCATAACAATAAAGACTGGGATGGGAAGGAGGGCTGTGCAGTAAATTAAACAGGCCCAGTGAAACGAAAATATCTACTAATCCCCCCATTCCCTCTGGCTCCTACTGAGGGAGAAAGACACAGCTCTAAGAAGTCAACATTAGAAACTATGCAGACAGAATTCTCCCAAGGGGGGCGGGTGGGCTGAATGCAACAGAATCGACCAGGGAAGTCTATCCAAACCATTATGATGGGTGTTTACACTGCACTCCAAACTTTAAATGAAAACACATAAATCTCATTCACCGAAGTTATCCTTTGTATACAGTATAAAACTGTGCAACAAATAAATTAACGAGCGCCACCTGTAAGTAAACCAGACTACTGACTACAGTCGTCAGGCCCAAGGTACGCACTATTCCGTAACGCGTTCTCAGCATCCCCAACTCCTTCCCAGCTAGGTGGGGAGATGCGCGGCTTTATCCCTGCCCAGCGACAAAGGGGCGAGACGCTGGCACTCGCCCGAGGAACTCTCGGGGCGGAGGCGGCGGGGACCGAGGCTCCCAGCCAGGGGCAGCCGGCGCGCCTCCTCTTCTCTCGGCGAGGAACAGGCACCGGCCAGCCGCCCAGGTGCGGGGGGCGGCCAAGGGCGGCGGGGCCCGGAGACGGGGCCGCGCCGGGGCGGAAGGCCGGACGGGAGGGCGGAGGCGCGAGTGCCGCCCAGGCCCCGGGCAGCCCGAGGACTCCCGCCGGCCTCGGGAGAGGCTCCTCCACGGCGAGCCCCGGGCCGGCCGGCGGCGAGGAGCCGGCTGGCTCCGCCGGGGTCCGCGTCGCGGCCGTTCCCCGCCCCTCCCCCGCGCGCCAACCTGCGGACCCGCCGCCGCTCACCTGGTGGCGTCCGCGACGTTCCTGACGAACAGGGAGGTGTTGGGGGGCCTCGTGTAGCGAGACATGACCGCTTCCTCCGTTCCCTCGGGGGTCTGCCCGGCCGCCGGGCTCGCTCTGTCTCCCGCCGCCGCCGCCGCCGCCGCCACAGCAGCTCCGCCGGCCCGCGGCGCGACCCCCTCGCCTCGGCCTCGGCCCCGCCAGCGCGCAGCCGCAGAGGCGGGCGCGGGGGCAGCGCTGTGCGGCGCGAGTCCGTCCGCGCGGACCACGCGGGGGCGGGGCGGGGGCGGGGCCGGGCGGCGTGCGGGGAGGGGGCGGCGCGGGGTCCCAGGATTCGAGGGCCTCTTCGAAGGGCGCGGCGCGCGAGCCCGGGTGTGGAGGGCATCGGGGAAGGGGCAGCGCCGGGGTCCCGGGGGCGTCGAAAGGGACTCTCGGAGGGGGCGGCTGGGGTCGGAGTGCAATAGGCGGGCATGGACTAGAGCGGTCCTACGGGCTGAAGCAGGTGAGCCGCGGGTTAGAAAGCGTCCGGAGACAAGATGTTGCGAGTCGGAGGTGGGCGGGGTTCAAGCTGGCCACAGCCAGAAGGTCGCTGCGGCCTTCTTTATTGCATCCTCAGCCCCAGACCTTGGCAATGGTTCTGCCTCCTGCCCTTTGAATGCTGAGACTGTTTAGACTTTCAAACTGTGAGGATTTTTTTTGATTCTTCATCCATTATTCGTTTGGAGTACACCATTCAGCTGTGAGTACATTCCTTCAGATGTTTACTGAGCACCTGCTATGCACCGAAAACTATTCTAGGTGTGGGACCCAGCAAAAAACAAAAGCCACATCCCTGCCCTCATAGAGCTTACATTCTTGAGTGAAGACCAGACAATAAAAGAATGAACAAGTGAATACGTGGTGTGGAAGAAAGCGATGAAAGTGCAGAAGCAATTAAGCAAATTTAAATTACCCTCTCCCTGCCTCTCCAGTACGTCTATAGCCACCCCTTCTTAGTACTCCTCGTGCCTTCACATTTGCTGCTGTGGTCAGAAACACGTGTTACCAGGACTGAAACCAGGTGGCTTGTAATTATAGTAGCATCCCTTTTCATTCTCAGAAGTGGCTAATTTGGGAGGGTAAATAATATGGTCATCCTACCTAGCCCATGGCTGTCTCAAATGCTGTGAGTTTCCCAAGGTCAGCAAATGCTTCTGGAATAGTGGCCATTCGTTCAAAATGTGATTCCTTAGGGCACAGCAAGCTCTGGGCTAGCCTGGGGATCTAAGGGGTGGGAGTGGGATCACATCCTTTGACGCTTACAACTTGGTAGAGGAGGCAGAATCTAATTATCACACTGATAAAGATAAGCCTATGCTAAGGGTATGAAAACAGCTACATGCAGGACTTCCCTCCTGATCCAGTGGTTAAAAATCCATCTCGCAATGCAGGTGATACAGGTTCAATGCCTGGTGGGGGAACTAAGATCCCACATGCCTTGGAGCAACTGAGTCTGAGAACCACAACCAGACAGGCCGTGCACCACCATGAAAGATCCCACATGATGCAAAGAAGATCCTGTGGCTGCAAGACCTGATGCTGTCAAATGAATAGATTTTTTTTCTTAAAAAGTAGCTACGTGCTGCTGGAAGGGTACTTTATGGGGGTTGGCAAGCAAGGCTAGAGGATCACTGACCTTTACCCTGAGGAAGCCTTACAGGAATATTTGAAGAATGAAGAGGGGCAATCCATGCACTGGAACAGCATGTGCAAAGGCTTTGAGGCAATACAGGGAAATGAAAGGCAGCAAACAGGAGCAGCAAGCTGAAGAAGAAGAAAATGAGGCTGGAGAGCAGGCTGAGTGTATGGTAGGAAAGTTTGATTTTCTCAGTTCAGTTCAGTTGCTCAGTTGTGTCCGACTCTTTGTGACCCATGGACTGCAGCACCCAGACTTTCCTGTCCATCACCACTCCCGAAGGTTGCTCAAACGCATGTCCCTCGAGTCGGTGATACCATCCAACCATCTCATCCTCTGTCGTCCCCTTCTCCTCCTGCCCTCAATCTTTCCCAGCATCAGGGTCTTTTCCAATGAGTCAGTTCTTCGCATCAGGTGGCCAAAGTATTGGAGTTTCAGCTTCAGCATCAGTCCTTCCAGTGAACACCCAGGACTGATCTCCTTTAGGATGGACTGGTTGGATCTCCTTGCAGTCCAAGGGACTCTCAGAGTCTTCTCCAACACCACAGTTCAAAAGCATCAATTCTTCGGCGCTCAGCTTTCTTTATAGTCCAACTCTCACATCCATACATGACTACTGGAAAAACCATACCTTTGATTAGATGGATCTTTTTTGGCAAAGTAACATCTCTGCTTTTTAATAGGCTGTCTATAAGTTTTTTGAAACAAATTACCACAAATTCAGTGGTTAAAAAGAACAGAATTGTATTCTCTCATGGTTTAGGAGGCCAGAAATCTGAAATCAGGGTGTTGGCAGGGCTGCACTCTCTCTTAAGGCACTAGAGGAGCATCCCTCCTTGCTTCTTCTGGTCCCTGGTGCCTCCAATCTCCGCTTCCATCTTCATACAGCTTTCTCCTCTTTGTTTTATGAGGACACTTGTCATTGGATTTAGGGCCCACCCAGGTAATCCAGGATGATCTCATCTCAAGATCCTTAACTTAATTGCAAAGCCTCTTTTTCCAAATAAGATTAGGACTTGGACCTGTCTTTTCTGGGGCCACCATTCAACCCACTACACTGACCTTGCCGAGGAAAGAGATTTGGTAGGAAGTGAGAGTTATTAATAAACCTCTTCCCTTGGGCTTCCCAGATGGTGCTAGTGGTTAAAGAACCTGCCTGCCAAGGCAGGAGATGTAAGAGATGTGGGTTCGATCCCTGGGTCGGGAAGATCCCCTGAAGGAGGGCATGGCAACCCGCTCCAGTATTCTTGCCTGGAGAGTCCCACAGACGAGGGAGCCCGCTGGGCTACAGTCCATATGGTCACAAAGAGTTGGACACAACTGAAGTGACCTAGCATGCGTGCATGCACACTGACACATTAAGGGGCGTAAAAATTCACTGGACTCTATGTAAACCATGAACCTATTAGTTAAAAATATATGCATTGGTCTGCTCACTTATAAACCGAGCTGCTTCTAGGTGGGGGCATTACACTGATTTTCACTTTCTTTTCCTTACAGTTGGCACTGTCGGGTTATTTTTAGAATGCTTTTTATAATTGGAAGAACTCTACAAATCTCTTTACAGTTTGAAAAAAGCTTCTATTGGCATATCTGAAAAGACCTAATGGGTAGGTAGTGGGTTTTTTTCCTGTTCCTATTGATAGAAGCATTTGAGGAAAGGGACTTAAACTATGGAAGTTCAGTTACAAACTTGAACTTTGAAGCTAGCTGGAATTGATTTAAAATAAGTTATGGAAATGGTAACCATGTCAGAGATGGATACGATAAGTAGCTTGACTGTAGTAACCATTTCACTGTGCATGTCTAGATATCCAATTATCATGTTGTATGCTTTAAATGTGTACAATTTTAATTTAAAATAATAAATAAGTTACGGAACCCTAACTGTTTATATGACATAAAAATGTATGTTCCTCCTATTTCCAAATTCGATCCGAGGCAACGAAGTGTAAAGAAGTGTGGGGAAACTGCTGTCTAGTTGGAAGGCTGGAGGCAGGCTGTTGTCAGGAAGGGACGACTGAAGAATGTTACCCAGAGGGGCAGGCTGCCCCAGCATCTGACGGCCTGTAAACCAGTTCAGACGGCAGCTGCTGCACTGCGCTTTACCCTGCCCTTGGCATTTGTTAGTACTCTTACTTACAGTGAAAGTGAGAGTCACTCAGTCGTATCCTACTCTTCTCGACCCCATGGACTATAGAGCCCATGGAATTCTCCAGGCCAGAACACTGGAGTGGGTAGCCTTTCCCTTCCCCAGGCGATCTTCCTAACCCAGGGACTGAACCCAGGTCTCCCGCATTGCAGGCAGATTCTTTGCCAGCTGAGCCACAAGGGCAGATACTCTTCCTTAAAGAAGCAAAGAAAAGGCTTCGGTCAAGACTAAACACGCTGCCTGTCACCAGGATACGTGACATACGTGAATATGTCACGAGCATATTCATATTTACCCTAAGACTAGACTTTAGTTAGATGCATTTAGTAAAAGTATCACTTTAATGAATCATTGCCTTAAGGCATTAAATGGTAGCCCCAAGGCTTGGGAGAGTTAATGTTCTCTCTAAATTGCCAGAGAATTCCCAAGGGGTATACCCCTGGCAAAATCTGATGACGGTTTAATAACTATAGCCCCTGTTGTATAGCAGAGTTATATGTATCATTCTTTCCATTTAATACAGTTTTAATGGGAATTCCCTGGCTGTCCAGTAGCTACGACTCTGCTTTCACTTCCAAGGGTGCAGGTTCAGAGAATGAAAATCCTGCAAGCCGAGGAGCGTGGCCAGTACATAATAATAATAAGGCAGTTTCAAAATTACACTCTATATTCACCATAAAAAAAGAGGTAATAATTATGTGATGTGATAGAATGTTAATGTTAATCATGTTGCCATACATAAATCTATCAAACAAATGTTATACACCTTAAATGTAGGCAATGTTATGTCAGTTCTAGCTCCATAAAATAAATAAGTAATTAATAAATGCTTCAATCTAATGCTTCTTGTTTTTCCACCTATAAGACAGACTTTGATTGGAAAATATTTTAGGAAAATTAGGTTATTTCTCATTTAAATAATATCGTTACTTTACCTAGCTCACTTTTCAAAAGTAAATAGATTTTAAACTTCTTCATTGAAATCACAGTTCCATAGAGAATATAGCATGAAAAATTCAGCATCTTTTTGTTAAAACAAGTTAATTGCTAAAACTTGTCCTAGTGGACAAATCTTTAAAATCAGGCATCTGTAATAAGTTGTGTTTAAAATATAAGCACTTAGGATTTTATTTCTAATGTTTGAAACTTGACTCCTCAGCCCTGTCTCTGGGAAGACTGCTGCTAACTCACTTGTCATTTAGCATCTAAAGTGAAAGTGAAAGTTTGGCTGCCTTGTGACATGTGAGATCTCAGTTCCCTGAAGAGGGATGGAACCCACCTCCCCTGCACTGGAAGGTGGATTCTTAACCCCTGGACCACCAGGGAAGTCCCAAGGCTAGCCCTATTTCTAATTACCACGGATAATCAGGAGATACCAAGGCCGGTTTATAAAAGCAAACCATGTATTTTTGTTTTTCATTCTGAACAAACACACACACACATAAAATTGAAATAGAGCTGATGTACACTAGTATATTAGTTTCAGGAGTACCACATAGCAATTTGACATTTATATATATTATGAAATGATCACCACAGTAAGTCTAGTAAACATCCATCCTCATACAAAGCTATTACAGTATTATTAACCATATCTTTATGCTGTATATTATATCCCCGTGGCTTACTTTATAACCGGAGGTTTATACCTCTTAACGTCCTTCACTTGTTTTGCCTACCTTTCTGCCACTTTCTCCTCTGGCAACCACCCACCCACTCGTTCTCTATGAGGCTGTTTTGTGCAACATGTATTTGTTATTCTATGGCAAGGCTACAATGCCTGTGGCTGTATAATATCACTAACTTTTTTCCAGTTCTTAAATGGGTCAAAATAGTCTCATTATCAAATCTGTAACTAAAGAGTCAAATCAAGAAAAACTAGTATATTTTAATCAGATTAATTAACTAGTTTTGTTTTTGACTATCATAGTGGAGGACTAGACGTAATTGAAAATTAAATTGTACTTGGATATGCATGAGTGTGTTGAAATTTGGATGATGAAAAGTACTTTGGAGAAGTAAATTCCATGGTAATGAAGTCAGCTGGGATCATCTTATGCTGTGAACTAATTCTCCAACAGATGGTGCTAGCTTGCCTCTAGTGACAGCTATTCTGGTCTATCCTCCCTTAAAATGTACTGTGACCTTGATGGTGTTGATGATAGAAAGCGATGTGGTGATTCAAATAGAATGTCTTGTAAACGTTCTTCTATTGCCCCAGAATTTTGGCTAATAAGACATCATTTCACAGAATCCAATTGGAGAATATATCCTTTTATGAGGATTATGAACATTTCTTCCATGATAGTTCAGCTGGTAAAGAATCTGCCTGCAATGCAGGAGACCCTGGTTTGATTCCTGGGTTGGGAGGATCGCCTGCAGAAGGGATAGGCTACACACTCCTGTATTTTGGGGCTTCCCTGGTGGTTCAGATGGTAAAAAATCCGCCTGCAGTGCGGGACACTGGATTCGATCCCTGGGTTGGGAGATCCTCTGGAGGAGGGCATGGCAACCCACTCCAGTGTTCTTCCCTGGAGAAACTTCATGGACAGAGGAGCCTGGCGGGCTACAGTCCATGGGGGCGCAAAGAGTCAGACACAACTGAGTGACTAAGCATAGCATAGCTATAGGAAACTGTTTTAAAGGTAATTTATATGATAACAATGAGTATTATTTAACTTTTTCAGAAAAGTCAGATTAGAGAAGGCTTGTCTCTTTAACTATATATCCCCCCAAATAACACCAAATCTCAAAAATGTTGGAGGTGGGTGTTTCTTCCTAATTTAATTTGACAAATATTTAGTGATCTACTAAACATAGTACTAGGATGAAAATAGATATTTCCTAATTCTGAAGGACTTAGCCCAATTTCCCAGCATTAAGCCATTTTCACATATCCTGTAAGAGTTTTACCATAATGATTCACTTTGTTACCATTATAAGCTCATTATCTTTCTTTAAATTATCTTTTATTTTAAAAGAAAAATCTATTATTGATATTATTTTTTAAAATTTCACAGGCAAAAAGCAATCATCAGAAGATATCATGAAGTGGGATTTCCCTAGTGGTCCAGTGGCTAAGACTCTGTGCTTCCAAGGAAGGGGGCACGGGTTCAATCCCTGGACGAGGAACAGAGAGCCCACATGCTGTGAGGTGAGGTCAGAAAGTAAAAAAAAAGAAAGAAAAGAAAATATTTTGAAGAAATATATAAACTTCAGCCAATTTATGTAGGTATCTACATAGTTTCAAGCCTGACACCTGCTCTCTCTTTAAAAAGGGAAATTAATCACACAATAAGAGAGAGATGTTAAAGCCGTGCATGTGCATATGCCTGCTTAGTCACTCGGTCGTGTCTGACCCTCTGCGACCCCATGGACTGTAGCCCGCCAGGCTCCTCTGTCCGTGGGCTTCTCCTGACAAGAATGTTGGAGTCGGT